TTCGTGGGAGAGCACGCGGCGTGAACGGCAGCAGCCGCGGGAATCTCCGACGAAGTCGCATTGTCTATCCAATCATACAAGTTGGGCACAATGGTGGCGGCTTCCTTTAATGAAAGATGCTAGTTAAGGGAGGCGCAGAATAGGACAATGATAGAAGCATCGGAGTCCGCGAAGCAGGATGAGGAAGTAGACACGAGAGAAGAGGCGAGAAAGCGATGGGTGGCGCGATCTCTTCTGAAGCGACCTTTCATCCGCGAATTTCGCAAAACGGGCGAAGAGAAATGGGGAATGTCGGTTCCATCGGTTCTACTTAGCAGAGATTAATTTGCGCTAGTTTGAGAGCTCTAGTACAATACGCGAACAATAATAAACAAAGTTATACACAGAAAAAAACAGTATCCTTGAAAGAGTGCCTTGATTCAAGTATATTTTATCCTTATAATAGCGCCAAATACAATATAAATAATTTTGGATAAAGGATAATTTATCCTTAAAACAAAGTGCAAAATATTCTTGGTTGAAGCTGAAATTTACTTATAAATATTGCAAGGGCAAGCGACAAGTACTTTCAAGTATATATAATAATTCTTAGTTCAAATGTGACTAAGTTTGTTTTTACCATATGCGATTTTTCAAACAAGAATACATCTTAAGGATAAAATATACTTCATACAAACTTATTTATTATTAATGCAAATGAAAATTTGTGATTACAAAGAGCAAAGAACATTCTATGCTTAAATCAATCAAATAGCGTTCGAGAATAAAAATATACTTGAATCAAGGATTCCTTTTTTTCTGTGCACAAAAAAAACAGTATCCTTGAAAGAATGCAAAGATGCCTTGATTCAAGTATATTTTATCCTTATAATAGCGCCAAATATAAATAATTTTGGCCAAAGGATAATTTATCCTTAAAACAAAGTGCAAAATATTCTTGGTTGAAGCTGAAATTTACTTATAAATATTGCAAGGACAAGTGATAAGTGAGCATCGGATATAAGCGGTACTTTCAAGTATATATAATAATTCTTAGTTCAAATGTGACTAAGTTTGTTTTTACCATATGCGATTTTTCAAACAAGAATATATCTTAAGGATAAAATATACTTTACACAAATCTATTTATTATTAAGGCAAATAAAAATTTGTGATTACAAAGAGCATTCTATGCTTAAATGAATCAAATAGCGTTCAAGATTAAAAATATACTTGAATCAAGGATTCCTTTTTTTCTGTGTAATTATACTAAACCTCGCTCGAAAGTTTACGAGCCGACCGAAGTTTCTCTCACACGATCTTCGTATCTTTGTCCTATATGCCGTCACCTTTCCGGAAACAAGCGTGCACATATGTATGCACATATCTCGGGCTGTCTGTATTTAAACTCGTTGCACATTGCACCGAGCTGTCCTCGTATATACGCTCGAAATGAGTAAAATTTTCGTCGCGTAGTGGTTTTTGCTACTCTGACTACGCTACTCAAAGCGCATGCAACACGTTGCATGAATATGCATTTATATTTCTTTCCACTGTGTACTTGCTTTCAATTATGCAACAGCGTCTTTGCGCGCCGGGGATACTTATTTGTGGTAAATTTGAATATATTTGATAGAGGTGGAAAAAGTATAACAAAGTGTGTAACAAGAATGTCAAAAATATTTCCGACGAGGATCAATTTATTGTGATTTGTGCACAATAATTTATTACAATTTGTGATGAAAGTCCGCGCATTTTCCATATTACATATTCTCCGCATATGTATAGTAAAGTAATCGTGGTATAAATTTTCATCGTCTATTCTCTCAACAACAGTCAGTCTTGTGTCGCGCCGACATCCGCACGAATAACTTTCGTACATAATTACATATTTAATCGCAGAAATACGTCGTAGATCTCACTACTCGCGTTTTAATGAGATCCGGTAACGAGTGTCGTAATTGAGCGCGTTCTATCATTATATTATAATCACTGACTCGACAGATGAAAGGATGTAAGCGCATACAGAAAATGATTCGCGTCTTTGATTCTTGGAATCTTCACGATAAACATATTTTTGTATAATTTGATAGATAAAGTTATTAAACTCGTACGAGTTATCTACTCCGAAGCAATAAAATATTATTGACGAGAATAAATGGTTGAAGATTCGTCGAAGAATTTGGAAAATCGATTTTTATCGAAATAAGATTTTTTCCATCACACAAACACACAGAGAGAGAGAAAGAAATAAAAGAGAGAACTTGGTTTCTTTACTTTTGTTACTCTTCACACTTATATTTTCTCTTTCATTCCTTTTTCCGACTACTTAATTCGCGTTTTCCTCGTCTCTGTTAAAAAATATCAAGTTTCTTTTCCTTTGTCTCAATTGACTCTTCCTCAGAAATGCAACGTGTAAATTGTTGAGTATTCGCTTCTTTCTGCGCGGCTCGGTTACTCGGGCGCGGTTAGATTTTTATGACGTGCGCGAAACGTTTTTAAAGGGTTTCGTGACGTCGATCCAGGCTCGCTGTACCGCAGATAAAAAAGTATATTATATATATATATATTTTTTCATACACACACACACACACACACACACAGAAGCACGTTATCCCTGATGATGTTGGTACTAAAAGTCACGCGCATCTATGCGCATCTCCGCATACGTACAAGCATGTGTGTGTGTGTGTGAGCATGTGACAGAGGCACAGAGAGTTGGGGTGCTTTCACAAAATCACGGTGGGACGCCGACGCGACGCGGCGGGACGACTGGGATGTTCGTGGAGGGAAATAAATAACGTAAATTGAAAACCGCGGGAAATAAAGAGAGGAAATAAAAGCGTCACGGTTAAGTACACTTATACGTGCCCGGTATCGGCAATATACACGCCCGCGCGTACGCAAAACTAGCGCCGATGCGCACTTGTGTGCGCGCATCTCTCCCTTGGAGTATCCCGAAGCTTTTGCTTTGTTTGTGTATACCGTGCATACTCAATCGTCTGACGGAATATCGCCACCCTCTCTTCTCTTCTCACCCTTTTCGACGAGGCTCTCCGTTGCTGCTACTGCTGCTGCCGTTGCCTCTGCTTTTCCTCTCTTCCAACGTGCGTTTTGTTTATTAATGGAAATGCGTGGAGCGCAGGCAATTTGAAAGGATATTTTCTCTCTCTTCCCTCTCTCTCTCTCAAAACGCGAGAAAGCTCCCACGAGTCCTCTGTAGAATTCATATCGTCTACGAAACCTTCAACCTGTGCCGTGGTTTGTCTGCGCGTGAATAATGCGCGTAAAATAATGAATTTATCCATTAGCTCAGGGATTAATTGAAGACAGATTTATGTACGTGTATATGCATACACGAGCTAAATTAAATTTTTTATTTGTTTTTTAATCAGCGCATTAAAAAGAAAACAACTTGAAACCTGTTTAGAAAATGTTTCACGTGTTTCTCAAATAAATAAATAAATGTAAATATAAATTTAGCATAATTTTATTTCCGATTAAAACAGACATTTCGCGTATTTCGTACGAGTGCCGGTGCTTCCTGCTTAACCGCATTAAATGGTTTTAATGGATTACTCGTGGATTACAAAAGCGAAAAAGAAGCGCGGTCTTCCGGACGTAGTCGGAGAGAGAATCCGGTTACCGCGGAAGTGACGTAACAAAGAGAGAATAATTGAACGGGGGCCACACGTTTCCGACACGAGGTTTTGCCCTTCTAGATTCTACCGTGTCCTTTCTCCTTCCATATCGTCTCCTCGTCGCGTTTCCCTTCGATCCGTCCAGCCGACACCGGGGCTAATGGTTTAATCCTAACATGGATGTTAACCAGATTACCGGTTACAAGTCCACCATGTGCCGTGCCGTGCATTCGCCGCGGTTTCTACGGAACAAATTATCCGCGATTACGTGGATAATGGCGGAAGGCGTTGAACGCGTCAACCCTTACCGATCTGTTTCCCGCAATTTCCTGCATCGCCAGCATCCCATCTTCCAAGGACGATGTAATAACGGGGCGACGGCATCGTCTTTCGGAATCTCGCATCTTTATCGCGCGACACCACTTTTCCACACTTATCGCAAACTTATCCGATGATCTGACACTCGAATATGATATTGTACTCTGACTCTGATATCAAATGTCGCGAAATAATCACGAAAACGCGTACTATATGTCTTATCATCGCCTCGTTGTTGTCCGAGGAGTCGCGCACAATTTTATTTAAAAGCTTCGCGACTCGGGCATAGGTAGTTATAAAATGACACACGTTTCTCTCTGTCATTTTGCACGCTCTGTCTTCACGCTCTCTAATTTCCGCTTTTTTTATTACAAAAGCAACCGCAGAGAAAAAGAGAGAGAAAGAGAGGAAGGAAGGCAAAGAGGACCCACTCCTGGTGGTGCCACTGGCCAGACCTTTCCGATATTATATTGCCCCTAAATTATGCCGTCATAAAAACGTGATGAAGCGACCATGACTACGGGTGCCCGGCAAATGGTTTGAAAAATCAAGAGGAACGAAAATAATGGTCAACGGAATGGTCACACACACATACATACGTACCTAGAAATATATTTGTATTCACGGAACAGCTCACGTGGCGCGCCTGTCATTCTTGCAACTCTATGCTTGCTGCTTCGACTGTAGTTGTGCATACCGTTAATAATAGTAGAAAACTTGAAAATTTAAAACATCGATTTTTATTTTGTATATCTTTTTGTAGCATTTCTTTATAAAAATTCTTAGCAGCTTTATAAGCTTTGTATTCCTACCGCATGTACATATATTTTGGATATATCTGGATTGCAACGATTAATTTTGAAGATGCTATGTATTTAATACTGAATTCTCGAGAAAGTTTTCTTGACTTGAAAAAACAGAGAATTCACAAATAGAAGATGTATAATTTATATTAATTGTGTAGAAATTTTGATAGGCAATTGACATTATTATGTAATCGTGAAAGATAATCATAATAAAAAATTCTAATGTTTGCGTATTTGTTTCTTTTTTTCTGCGCAGATGATGAAACATGGTTGGGACAACTACGTGCGATACGCATGGGGAAAAAACGAGCTACGACCAATCTCGAAGAGAGGTCATAGTGCCAGCATTTTCGGGGCTTCGAATATGGGTGCGACCATCGTCGACGGACTCGACACTCTTTACATCATGGGTCTCCACGATGAGTTCAAGCAGGGACGCGACTGGATTGCCGAGAATCTGGACTTCGATATCGTGAGTACTTGTATATTTTTGCATATCTCATATTTCTTATCAACGTGACGTGTTACGTTGAGATAACCTCTCAACATTTAGCAAATTATTTATGCGAGTTTTAACGAGTATACATTACGCAAAAATAATATTTCTGAAAGCTAAAATAAAAAAAACGTTCCTACATAAAACAAGGACATCTGATATAAATTGTCAAAACAAATGACTGCAAATAACTAATAAAGCAAAAAATATTTATTTATGAGCTGTTCGAAATTGATATGGTAATTACGATTTATCTCTGTACATCGATGAGTAATATATATACATATTTATAAAACTCATGACGACGGACTTTTATCCTGCATTACTTTTAATAATTATTTGTCAAGTATTTATTTTAATCGGGCGGCTGACGTTGATTGCAAGAGGATTTTGCTAGCCTGAGTATATCTTTTCCTGCTATATAATACATTTAATGAATTTATTCCCTTTGCTCTGAGAAAATTATATTTTAATTAATTTTAATTAATTAAATATCTTTTCTCAAATATAACATAAAATCTCGTATGATGAGCATTGCTATCATATATTAATTTTAACATTTAACATGGAACGTAAAAAATAATTATAAATATAATATAAATTGCAAGCTGTGTTTTAATAAAATTGCAAGTATATACGAATATCTTGTGTTTACGCTTCTTTGAAGAATTTCTGCAGTTTTTTTCTTTTATGACTGAAAAAGTACAGTGATGTCTGCCTCAAGTGGAGGAGGTATCACGATGAAAGTTCGACATTCGTCGACATGCGTCGAAACCAATTTCGTCGTGAGTCTACTTACCTGATGCAGCCATGTCATCGTCTCCTTTTTCGCGGACCCCAACGGAAGCAAACTTTTGATATAGGCTCGCACGTCTGCATACACTATTCCTCCTCTCCGCATCTCGTCCTTTCTTTACTTTTACGTTATCGAACATGTCGGAAATGTGTTTGCTGTGTCGAGGAAAGTCCCACTCTGATGAGACGTCGAAGACACCCTTCGATCTTTTCTTGGCGCCGATCTATTCGAGTAAAATGTAATACAAAAGTAAAATAATATTATATCGTATAGGTATTTTGAGGCAAAGATTTTTAGATAATTATATTTTAAAGCAGACTTTTAAGAGATAAAACACTTTTAATTTTGAATGTGATGAAATCTACAAGTATACCAAAATAAATAAAAAAGAATAATGTATTCTTTAAATAAATGAACTTTTAAAAAAAGTTCAGGATAATCCTTGAAAATTGTAAGCATTCATTTGTCACTAAGTAGATATGCCGTGACCTTGATGGAGAATGAGAATCTTATCTTCGTACAGCAGGACTAGGTTGAAATATTTCAAATCCCCGACTGGATCCAATATTTCCTCGATAAAATATTACAGCGGGCCATTTTTGTAGGGCTCGCGAATTGAACGGCTTAAAGTTGCGACATGAAATATTCCATTGCGATATCAAATATTCTCTTCATGTGTGACGAATTGATAAAGCTCAAAACATGATTTTTTTATGCATAGCCATTCGCATATTTTCACGAATTAAAATTTTATATGGCTCTTAAATCTTATATTTGATTTTATTAAGTCTTTGAGTAGATAGATATGTCTATTTATATTGCACGATATAATGTCGCACGACTGTCACTCTAGCAACTTTCGTTTCAGCGATTCGATAGAACTTTTCATTAGGGACAGATTTTTGAAAAGTTTTTCTAGATTTCAAATATTATCCAACTGAATATTCAGCTGTGTAAAGGTGAGAAAAAAAGTGAGAAAAATAAAAATTATTTCAATTACCTCATTACGAGAATGAGTATGATAAATAGTTAATTGAAATTTCTATCTATTTCAGATCCTATTTATGATTATATTTATTTGCGAAAATTAAGAAACGATCTGTGAAAGAGTAAAAAATACACATCTCTTTCTTTTTTATACTTGGTGCAGAATCGATTACACGCAACAAATAATTAAATGAATGAAATTAAACAATTAGTGTATATAATTGCTTTATGTTTTAACTGATGTCGATAGGTATATTTATTTATTTTGCAAATTACGTTCTTACCAGTGGAATAGGAGAGTCACTAATTTTCCTCAAGAATGTTACTTCTTCAAAGATATTTCGGCAAACATTAAATCCTGAATTAACTTAATCGTTATGTAAATCGATGTCCGCGGTATTTCTCTGTCGGTGCGTGCGGGAAGAATAAACTTGAGCGTTTTCGTGTGACAGTTCCGTAAGTACCGAGCCAGGAAACTTAGTCCGGTTTATCCAAAGTTGGTAACAGCCTTCCCTATATCCTCCCCGCGACACCTCGAACTCTTCTCTCGCGGTGTTACGTCGGATTTCTAAGTGGATAACTTGCTGTATTAGCTGCTTTCGGCTTGCGGTAACCGGCGTATCAACCGTGTTAGAAGTTATGCCTATTGTTTCGCGGCAGTTTCTGAAACTCTTTCCTCTCGTGTATCGTATTTTGTCTGCAAGAGATGCAAAGTTACGTTAAGAAACATTTAGATGCGATCTCGCGTCTCTTATCTTTATGTAATTCATTCCCTTCTGCAACGTTTATTTCTGCAACATAGGAAATATATTTGAAAGAGATTTCTAAAGTTTTTGATCAGATCTCCTCAAATATTTATCACAATAATCAAGTCGATTATTTATATTAACAAATATTTGCATGCACGATTGTAGGACTTTTAAAAATCTTTTTGCTGTTTAAGAATAAATTTAGTTATATATTTTACGTATTTCTAAATTACACGTAAAGTATAGGCGCTAAATAAGTAAGAATATGTGATCATATCATCAGATTCATTTAGATATTCATATGAGCAAATATAATAGTAATGTTGCTTCATATTTTAGAATATTAAGTTGACAGTGATTTACTGTCATGCTATATACAGAGAATTGTTCCAAAATGATTATTACTAAAATTTAAAATGGAGAAGAATGTGAATGATTCGAGAACACCCTGTATATTTCACGCACACGTTCAATAATAACGATAAGGAACGAAATTAAAAGGCGGCACGGCAATGATGCATCTCGGTTATTCGCATCTGGTCAGCGAAATAAATTTCAATGGTCGATATGTGCGAGCGGGCCAAAGGAATATCGTGCAATATATCGCCTTCAATGAGATTTATACAAGAATGAAAACAGTGCGAGAAAGCGCGCGGGCTTTAGCACCGCGTTAGGTGGGAACCGAGATTATGAACGGGTTATATGGACTTGTCCGCGATTCGGACGGGCGATAAATTTGGGAAGGAAGCTGCAGGAAGGGCCTAACCGCCCCAAGTATAAAACGAAGATCGCGGTGCATCGCGTATTATGCGTCAAGAATGCAGACGTGCGGAGACGGGAGTGCACAAGGTACCAGCCACCACACATCCAGTATCTGACACCGCCGTTCCTCGTTAATATTACGCACAACCGTATACGCGGGATTAAAGAAACGACAAAAAGGAACGATGAGATACACGCATTTTATACGACAATGTAATCGTCGATGTTGCGCGTGCTATCGTCGTAAGATATTGTATCTTTGCGAGAAAGATTATTATTTAACAGCGATATTGTACATAGAAATTGGCATGATTCCTGAACACATCATAGAAAAAATAGTATTCTTGAAAGAATGCAAATATGCCTTGATTCAAGTATATTTTATCCTTATAATAGCGCCAAATATAAATAATTTTGGATAAAGGATAATTTATCCTTAAAACAAAGTGCAAAATATTCTTGGTTGAAGCTGAAATTTACTTATAAATATTGCAAGGACAAGCGACAAGTACTTTCAAGTATATATAATAATTCTTAGTTCAAATGTGAATAAGTTTGTTTTTACCATATGCGATTTTTCAAACAAGAATATATCTTAAGGATAAAATATACTTCATACAAACTTATTTATTATTAAGGCAAATGAAAATTTGTGATTACAAAGAGCAAAGAACATTCTATGCTTAAATCAATCAAATAGCGTTCAAGAATAAAAATATACTGAATCAAGGATTCCTTTTTTTCTGTGCACAGAAAAAACAGTATCCTTGAAAGAATGCAAAGATGCCTTGATTCAAGTATATTTTATCCTTATAATAGCGCCAAATATAAATAATTTTGGATAAAGAATAATTTATCCTTAAAACAAAATGCAAAATATTCTTGATTGAAGCTGAAATTTACTTATAAGTATTGCAAGGACAAGTAAGTATCGGATATAAGCGATACTTTCAAATATATAATTCTTAATTCAAATGTGACTAAGTTTGTTTTTACCATATGCGATTTTTCAAACAAGAATATATCTTAAGGATAAAATATACTTCATACAAACTTATTTATTATTAAGGCAAATGAAAATTTGTGATTACAAAGAGCAAAGAGCATTCTATGCTTAAATCAATCAAATAGCGTTCGAGAATAAAAATATACTTGAATCAAGGATTCCTTTTTTTCTGTGATCTTTACACATAAATAAATGGTGCACACAATCATTGATATTTTTTAAAATTATTATCAAAGATTTTGAAATATCTTAAAACTTTTAGCATAATATCTTAAGAACATAAATTTACGTCGACATTCATGTGCGTCTGTTTTTAGTAGGCATGCGATATTAGGTATAAATATTTTTGGCCGTAAGCTTCTCCATCTGTGTAGTTTTGAAAGTTGCGTACGCGATACTTTAATATTGCCAAGTTGAAATCGGAGCTGTAATATAAAAAGAAAAATTATGCGATTTTGTTTTCCATAAAGGATGGAAAAGTACTTAACTAAAAGCCGCTTGTTAGCGATGGTTCTATATAAACTTTTTGTTCAAGCTCAAAAAGAAGTTTCCTTAAAGTTAAAAAAACGAAGGATAATAAACTTTATATTTTTTTATAAATTTTTGATGATATTGGGAGAAGCTGGATTGCTTTGTGGGACCTCTATTTAGTTTGAAAGTTTTTTTTTTATCGTTT